CCGTCTTTCACATGAGCTGTCTCGTTTTGATATTTGATGTTCGGTGGAGGAAGCAGTCTCCCGTGCACCTAAACAATCACCTACCATCAACAGAAGATAAAGTCGATTAATTGATCTCACCTTCACGGGCTCTCTGTAAATGTAAAGTCCGGCATTTTCAACGTAAGGATTGTTTTCAGACCCGAAAAGAGATAGCGCGCGCGCGCCTCTAACGATATTATCTTGTCGTTCGCCAGGTGGAACGGCACAACTCTGAAATAAAACAACACCACACAGATGAACTTCCCTATATCTCAAAACATTATGGATGAACCCATAATGCCACTAGTTGGGACAGAAAGACTAGAATTTCTAGTACTTTATGCGCACAAAACTTGACAAACCCTTATAGCTATGACGTCCCACTATAAAAGTAAAGGTTCTTTTCCACATGGTAAGTAATCTCACTCACCCTTGTGGTTTTATGAACTTGATCAGGTGTTTGCTGTGAAATCGTGACTCTCTGCATGGGTCTAAGCCAGCCTAGTTCCATAGGATAACTATTGTTCCGACCACGTTCGCGTACCCTCACGAGTGGTGCATTTGGGTAACTAAACCAATAGATCTGTTGCAAAGGCAATCTAAAATAAGGAAACAAACTGATGGGAATACACACTTACTTCAGTCTAATGTGGTATTTGGCCTCGAAATAATCCATTATGCTGACCGTTTTACCGTTTGGCGTCTCAAATCTATATCAATTACATTAGAGAAACGTAAAACGCACACATAGGAGATCTGCTTCCACTCAAGAAAGAAGAACTGTTTTCTAAAGAAATTAGGAAGTTACGTCATTTCAGCAGCCGTGAACTCTGCGATTCCTGCAATTTGATGGTCGCTTTCGTACCCAGTGTGTTTCGTATAAAACCACAAATCTGAGACACAGAGAAAAGGTTTATAGTGGCATTGATAATGCATTTGAGTAAACAGAATCTCCAACTGTGCCACAAAGATAGATGGACATACCTTTCATACCATGATGGAGCCTTCTCACGGCTATATCCGAGAGCTTCCTGCTGAGGTCGTCATTGATAAGTGCCTTTGCTTTCTCGATTAAAGGGATATCCTCGTGGAATGCTGCCTTCTTCGCTAAAATCAGTATATAAGGAGTGCAATCACCTTCTGAAAAAGTAAAATAATCATAGAAACATGTCCCACCATCTATGATCAGACTGGGGTTGTTGTAATTGCGTCCACCGGGACCTTCAATGAATCGCACACTTTTCTGTATTCCTGGGTACAACCTTTTCCCGCCACCTACATCTGGGCAGTCTCTTTCAGTAAAACCAAATTTCCATGGATGATTTAAAAAAGTTTTTCCATTTTCGAAGTTAGCATACTCTTTGCTGGAAAAAAAAAGATAGACAGATTATAAAAGTGAGTATCAAGTAATATCAGGTGACTCACGGATTCTTCACGGCAACTTGATTAAATACTAGCTCCAACAGCTGATAAATTGTATGATCATTCTTTGTGAGATCAGAATTCGCAGTGCAATCACGAAGCAATTTGTCGTTCACCGTTA